GAGGCAGGAGCTGACAAGAATGCCGTCGCACACAATGGCACACCAGCCTTGATCGCGGCAAGTGTGGAAGGACACTTGCAAGTGGTGCGAGAGTTGCTGGAGGCAGGAGCTGACAAGAATCGCGTCGCACACAATGGCGCAACAGCTTTGATCGTGGCAAGCTGGCAAGGACACTTGGACGTGGTGAAAGAGTTGCTGCAGGCAGGAGCTGAGAAGGATCTTGCAACCGAAGATGTCAAAACAGCCTTGCACTGGGCGAGTGAGTATGGCCGCAAGCACGTGGTGTGGGAGTTGTTCCAGGCGGGAGCTGAGAAGGATGCTGCCGCAGCAGACGTCAAGACAGCCATTGGGCTGTGATGCAAGCTTGGCCTTGAGAAGAGTTCGTATAAATTGGCAGCTGAGGAGGGCCATTCGATGCAGAGCGGGGAAAACCGTTCAAATGAGAGAAGTGTCTTCCCGTCTTGCACCGGTTCGCATGGTCTTTAATTAATTTTGTGAGTGATTTGGCCGCTTTTGCTCGCTTTTGTTGAGGAACCCCCATCTCCAGCAAACCATAGCGCGATTCTTTAGTCCCACCGATGGAAGTCTTATATAGCAATTACATCATTTCCAGAGCCAAGTGACCAAAGGCAGCTTCCAGCTGTTGATGGAAAAACGGACATGCATTTTCGGGGGTGAAGAATGGAATCAATACTTGTGCAGTCGATGATTAAGTTCTATGATGGGGTGGTGATTCATTGAAATCCCTGCAAATGAACATAAGCACAACAACATGTTGATACTAGATTTGTGCTAAGTGTGCGAGTTTAGGCTTATTTTCCAAAAGTTGATTGCATGACATATGTGCAATTGTATAATAAGTCTTCCAATGGCTTACCCTTCCATACTCTGTACGAAACCAGTTTGGTTCAAGCATTCTTCAGACTAGCATAGCACCCACCTTTGGAGCCGGAATATGTTTGCTCACCCATTTAGCAATGTCTTATACCCAAACCACCCGAACATCAATCACTGACCGCCCTTCGCTGACCCTTCCGGCTGCTCACTTCCGCCCGCCGATGTGGGCGGCATCGGAGCGAGCTCCGACCGAGCTCCAGAGCTCAGGATGTTCTCTTGGATTCTTCGACAGCTGGAAGCCGTCAGCCTGGCACGGCAGTCCTTGGTCTTGGAACCTGAAGCCACCGATCTGCTGAGGCCGAACGTCGGGAAGCGATCCGGGAGCGATGACTAGTGGAGGATGAGCAAAGGTGTGTGTTTCATAGGAAGTGGTGCCATTGTAATATTGTAATTTGGGTATATATACTTTCACGCGCATTCTATATACTTTCATTGCTAGTCATCTCTTCATCAAATCTTGACCAACAATCAGTTCTTGCAAACATGTTGAACTTCTGTTTGGCTGGTTAACTTTGCTGCCCCGTTTTTCTTACTATAGTACGGTAAACGACCGCTGCTTTGGGGGGGTCTTCTTGCGGTAGTTCTTACGGTAAATGACCAACCACTCCAGTTCTGAAATTCTATGCACTCTCACTATATACGGCAATTTTTTTTTGAGTGTATTTCTTCCTGGTACACTCCACAATGCGTTAAAACCGTGGAACATCATCTCCTGCCACGTGGACTCTTGCCTGAAACAATGAGATGTTCGAAAATAAAATCAATAAAAGTCCAGCAGCCAAGGTATGCCAAGATGTTTCTTTGGGATCTATTTTGATGTCACTCACATGACCCAAAGCTGCAGCCCCCTAAGAACCGACGGCCCCCGGAGCAACGACGGCCCGTCCGCCCAGCCCCGGAGCCGTGCACCTCGTGGGCGTTCACCTGTGCGGACCCGTCAGGAGCATCACCTGGGGAAAGCTTCGCAGTGGCCAGCAGCACCGCGACCTCGTCCGCATGAGCAATGCCTCGGGACCCTTGGGCGAACGCCCCTCGGTGTGAAGCGGTGCCAAGGGCATCCAAGAGGTGCCATGTGTGGAGTGTGGAATGAGATTTTTGCGAATTTGAAGGTGGTGCCGGTGCTCTTAGATGGTTTCATATGTTTTCATATTAATATCATGTATACGTACTGTATTCCTTTCAAGTGTTCATGACATTTCGTGATGCCATATGACGCGTCGCTTGATCATGTATGAATTCCCAGAAGGGCTGGGCTGAGCTTCGATGTCCTGAGCAGACGATGAAACTCTTTGAGGTAAAAATGCCTCAACACCACCTGGTCCAGGCCCACGAAGGACCAGCATCGAAACTCATCTTGCAGCAACAGCTTCAAAAAAATGGAGAAAGCACAGCACCGTGCTCTTTCACTCTGATAAAGCAAGGTACATAAGTCGTGTTCTTGGTCAAAACCTGTCCAGAGTGTACAAGTTGGATTAAAGTGATTATGATACAATTCATTTGATTCCTTGGTCCAGGCCCACCTGGCATGTCCTGGCAACATTCTGGCAGCAAAAGACACCAACGATGTTTGGCCGGGTGTCATGTACACCCAAATGTGGAACGATATGTGTCATTTAATGTAGGGAGACCCCCTGGGCCGGCCCAATGGGTTGACTTGTCTATGTTCCTTCTTCCACGAGTCGAACTGGGAGGTCTCCCTGTTTTGATTATTTGGATACTAACTTGCTGTTGTATAGCTGTTGCTGCTGTTGCTCTTGGCATTTTTTGTGGTGAATCATTGATCATGAATTCACATGATCTTTGACACA